ATTTAATGGCGAGCTTACATAAAGTACCTGCGCTCGGGCAACATAACGACGTTCGTAAAGAAGACAGTTAAGGGTTTATGCCAGCCGAAAGGCGACGTGCACCTACGTACGGTACCATAACCCCCCCCCAAATTGAATGGCAGAGCGAATAAATTAGACGGTTATGAAATGACGCGAACTATGATCTACTACACTTGAATTTAGCCTGTTGGTGAGAAAAGATGGGCAGCTCTGCCGTGATCAAAAGGCCCCCTAACACAGTGCATCTGAACATTACTTTTTATGAATTAAGATCTAAGGTGAAGCGTTGAATGGACATGCTTCGTGTATTTGTGTCTCGCCCGTACACACACGTTGATCATGGTAATATGACGAAGCTCGAGGCTAAAATATTATAGTGCACGTTCCATATGTATGCCGAAGGCACCAGGGGATATCGCTTTTACGATTTGAGGAATAAAACGGTATCGAAATCGCGGTCATTGGAGCTCGATGAGCGTGAATTTTGTGACATTTACGAATTACACCTATTTAAAAAAATGAAACAGTGATGCATATGACCAAGAACGACGATGAGGGCGCAGCATTCGAGCCGACAGAATGCCAGCGATACCAGGACCAGCGTACGGAATGCGATGAAGAAGACGTCCCGGACGTCCAAGTAAAAAGGAAGGAAACCAGTATGATCAATTGGAGGGTCAAGATGCGCCAATCGCCACCCTCTGTGCATCCGCACAAAGTGAACAGGAAGATCGACTGGTATACCAAGCTCCTAATGAAACGGTGTAGTAAGACCAAGGCATTGTCATCTCAAGTTGATCGCTCAAAATGTCGATATTGATGTTGGAGAACGGATCAGACACCAAAAAGGTTGAAAGAAAGCGACGAATCATTACATTATGAGCGTGCAAGGATCGACGGGAACGGCATTATAATTGAAGCCGTCCTTACTAATGCTGTAAGTATTAGTGACGTCAGAAGTAACTGCCACATACGCGCAGGAAATATGGCCTTCTTCGGCTGATACGCGAAACCTTGAGCTCCCATGACATCAAGCCCAATCTCCAGGTAAGCACAGTGTTGAGATATGTGGTATCGATGCCCAGCTGTTCCACAGTGTAGTAAGATACCGTACAGACTGCGACTTCAGCTCAAATTGAGTTCATGTAGGCCACCCAAGACAAACTTTGGATGGTACCCACACCGTACTTTTACTAAAAAAATCCTAGCCACCAATCGGGCATTGTTACGCACCACACTGCCAGTTCGGCCCATTTTCTTAGCAGACGCCAACGGTATCTAATGGTACGCTTTATACATCTGAGAGAGTGTCCATGTCTTGTTCTGTGGCTTGATCGTAAATCGGCGTCCATACCACGCGCCACTGTCTTGTCCCGCCACAAGAACTAAAGCTGGCTTCAAGCGCCTGAAACAAGGCGATTGATTATGTATTTACGAAAAACAGCTTCAAAAACTGTTGACTGAATGGATACCTTTACGTGAGAAATTAAAAGAAGTGTCTGTTTACACGCCTTATGTCAATGATATGAACGTTGTTACAAAGATGAGTGGCGAGATATTAAGAGTCAAGAAATTTTTGAAAAGTATTTTTAAGGAAAAGGGTCCAGGTATGGCAAAGTTGATCTTGGGCAAGGATTTCGACCACAACAGGATTGCGGCACCCCAATTATCAGAAAGACACGATACATTGACGACGGGGTTGAGCGATTTGGTCAGAACGTGTAATACCGTCGGCAATACGTGTGAGTCGGGCTCAAACTGTTGACATAAAGGTCACCAACTACAAAAGCTGGGTGTTTGGAGACGCGCTCGGGAACATTCTGTTTTCTAAATAGCCCGATTTTTATGGCGTGCACTCGACCTAATATTGCATATGTCGTCATGCAGCTCCCTCTTTCCTCAAAGACCCCATTTTACGACTTTGAATGCCGCACTATGTGTTCCACACTACTAGAATCCAGTGCGGGTTCATCAAACCAGCTGAAAACGGATAATAGTGATTGAAGATTTTTTTAATACAAATCGGAACAGGAACATTGTTGATAGACGCTCTTTATCAGGTAATTCATCGGTATAGTCAATCCTTCGGTTGTGTGGAAGTTCAAGTATCAGAAAACCGTCGCATCGAACACTAAAGAAGCCGGTCAGATTGCTCTTAGTTTATGCAAAGAAGAAGACTATAAACGCGCAGTGATCAACGACATGGGTAACGAACACGCGGGAGGGACGCAAAAATGAAAAGACAGCCAAACGGCTATACCTTTGGCGAAAAAGCAGGCTACCACGTTTGTACAAAGCACGTGGACACCAGTAACCACTTTATCGAGATTTCGTTCAACATTGATTGCTGGAAATTGACTACATCGATACAAAGAATTGACTTGCACATATGCTGAAGAAGACACCTGGAGCTTAGATGAACAAGATTTTGCACAGGCGATGGAGATCAAATAAGCAACAAAGAACTCTCGATATTTGCGGTGGTAGGAGTGTAGAGATTACCCCTCTGAATGTGTTTGGCTGACGTCAAAAGGATTACGGTGACGGTCACAGTTTCTGTCATCGATATGCTTATTGATTACAGACTCTATGGTAGTCGTTGATTTGCCGGATAGAGCGGCGATCTAAGGACCCTTACATTCACATCGGTTTTTGCCATCTCCTCAAGATATTCATGATGGATCTCAGCCATCAACGAATCTCTTATTAAAGCTAGAAAATAATTAATTGTTCTGCTTGCGTAAGATAATCCTGTTGCGCAATTTGTATGTACGCAGCCATCTCTTCACTGTATGGTATAAAAATTAAAGCTATTGACTGACATATCCATTATTCGGTAGGTTGATATGCTTCAAGTGATACGGTCTGTTTACCATAGAAGGACCCACCGCATAAGAGCAAAATCGATATAAGAGCCAAGACACCAATAACAAGAAGACATCTGACGTAATTCCAGGCAAAACTAATCGGCTGGACAAAGGGGCACATGGATTTAAAAGCAACGGATGAACGTCCCGAAGCACAGTATCAAAAGTTTGAATAAAAAAGCAACTCAATATCATTCGCATTATGGCGCGCATAACTTGATCTACAGCCAGAAGCACGAACATGTCGCCCAAGCAAAGGCAAATCGTCATCTCCGTCGCTAGAATATCACTATCCGAGATCGTTAAGACGAATGGTCGTTCGAAGTTACGTTTGTCGCCTTGGCGCCATTCTCAGTTCTACTAAATATGACCGCGAGGCGCCAGCGCTAGCCCCGATTCCCAGTCATGGAGCTGCACTTGCTGCTGTTTGAGCAGCTGCACCAAGCATCCACAGCTCTAAGCAATTCTGTTTCTGTAAAAAGACAAACGAGCTTCTTCATTCGCAAAACGTATCGTACTTGTGGGTGCAGTAGTTCAAGCGGTACCACAGCATTCGTTTGCGCACTGCATATGGCAAATCCGAGTTGTTGGATCTCGCCATAGTCGACATGAAGCGCTGCAAACAACAGGATCTAATTGAGGAGTATTATCAGGCTATTTTAATTTTAATGAGACCAGCCTTTTCTTTCTCATGGTGCCCAGCCAGTCGCTCGCAGCTAGCAAGGTCCGCCAGACCAAGCGCATATTACTGTTGGTCTGTGCTGCAATATGGCAGGTACCGAGATGAGGGACCCCGTCGTCATCCACAGGAGCAAGAAGCCTCGCTGTTTTTGAATAGCGTTGGTGCCATACGGGCATCGTACCAGCACCCATGGCTGTTCCGCTCAAGTCATCCAACGACTGTATGGATGCTGATGATCTCCCCAAGCTCAGCGCTCTCATTCGCCAGTTTGGCCTTGCTGACTCGCTCGCCGCTAACACCGACATCGGCACTTCCGTGGAGCCACTGTGGACACCCCCTGTCTATCAGTGATGTAGAAGGCAATGCTGCCAATGAGGAGATAGATAGAGAAGATGAAGCTCCAGCTGCGTGCCAGCACCTCGCGGTCAATGCATTCGCACATAGCTAGAGTGGGCACGGCATCGCTGTGGTCATGAAGCATGCGAGAGAGATGCTGCAGGCGGGATTGAGCAAGCCAGAAAACTCGGCATTCTTCAATGCGTAGAGTGGTGTCAGAAGTCCTTCCCCATTATACTCACCGTGTCCTATCTGCTTCGATACCGGATTAGCCTTCCACAAGAAACCACACTCTGATCACGCTCCCCAGCGGGCGAAAGTAACTTCGTGTCTCTAACTCAAAGTAATGGCGTGAATTGTACAAGTGATTGACCTGGTCATAGCTTCAAAATCCAATCACGTTTGTTTAATGTTGAATAATCTACCAGCTAAATCACTTTTTACCACAAAGCACCAATTCTGTTCACCTCGTTATAAAACCACGAGTAGTTCGGTGCACCCATGGTGTCCTCTTATCGTAAGCAGATTATTGCGATATTATGTCGCCATAATTTTTGTGACTATCCACTCTATACAGACGACATTGAGCTTCTCGTGAGCCTTGTAGAGCAGATTATTAGCAGATTTGATTGAATTTTCTTACAAAGAGCCCGATTACTGCGATTTTGCTGTTGAAATATCAAAAGGCAAATCTATTGGGCACTGGTAAAGTACCACTTTTCACACTCCCTTGTCACGTCATTACTTTTTTATTTGTAAGACTTGACCTGACTATGTGTTACTTCTTCAACTAAGAGACACGAGCAGAAATTACAATCCGTTGCTTTACGTTCTCAAGCAGTCAATAGATACATGATTGATCAAAAAGTATGTAAATTAAAGCGCCATGGATATTAGCACTTCGTAATCGATTAGAGAAGTTGGACACCGTCAATACTTCATCAAAGTGATTTATATAGTAGCACACGTTGTTGAGGATGCCATTGCTTTCATCAAGAACAAAATAACAAGCACAAGGACAAATCAACATATATTGACTTATGCAGACAATGACGTTTCAATTCTCAAGAAAACCCAAAAAAACACTCAACTTCTTACTGTGGCTTCGCTGTTTGGCTGTTCAAATACGCCTCGTACCTTTCAAACAGATCTTTGTCTATTCTGGCTGGATCCCCAGCAAACCTCGCCTTGATGTCTTTCAACGATTGTGTCTGCCATTTCTTGAATAAACCGACTTGATAATTTATCACCGATTCGGACTTCTTAGCAGCCTCGAGCATCCTGGCAGTTGGTACCTCGCCGAAAACGTCGATAAAACTATTAATCGGAGAATAGCGCTCGATACGATTCTCCATCATAAGCACGTGCATGTAATAGTTGAAAATAATCAAATTTGGGTGAGTGAGCACCTTATCGATGTCACCACCAAGCCCAAGCAGCTTGAAAATCTGCGTATACTCAAAATGAGTCCACCGCCAAAACTGTGCTCTTAACAATCGACTTGCCACTTGATTTGTTTCACGCTCCAAATACGCAGGCCAGAGTTTAGATGCCAACGCCGCTTCGCCATGATTCTGTACTAGCAGATCAACCGCTAGCAAATCTTGACTAGTTCTATATGAACTACCCGTCTTCAAAAGTATTGTCAGCAGATCCGCTTCTCTTATCACGTCTTCTAGATTAGAATTACGGTGACCGTCAAGAAATTGAATCAGGGAGATGTCAACGCTTCTCTTAGCAACAAGGCTTCTTAGACTTGACACTATCAGCTCAGAAGCCTCGTAGTTTGGTTTTGCGGCGCCGAACATTTCGGCCAAAGCATCGCCGCTGTAGCGAGATGCAAGTTGACGGCATACTTTAATCTCGGCAATGTCTTTTGCGGATGAACTCATTTCATAGTTATACCACGTGAGCAGCCCTGGAGTCTTAA